TGTTAATGATAATAATTATATATTATATTAAAGTATGCTTTAACGTTAAAGTTATGTACTTTTTAGTCACACTGTCGGTCCAATGCGAGCGGCAAAGATTTTCGTAACCGATTTGAAAAATCGTAGTATTTTTGACAAGGTGAATATTACATATTTTCAATTTTGAAAGTTTTATAACTTTGAATTTTCATGATTTGCTCATAGGTAAACAGACTTCGGATTGATCTATATGGGTCGTTGGCTTTAACCGGAGAAGGTCATGGCACACCTAATGCAATTTTAATGGGAATGGAAGGTGAGACTCCCGAAAAAGTTGACACATCTACTATAAAATCTCGAATATCCAAAATTAATGAAACAGGTAATAATCATGATCGGCATACATGTTAGTTATATGACAAAGGTGCAGATACACCATTTTTTAAAATTCAATTTTAAAAAACATCTCGTTTTTAACTACTACAAATCACTTCGCCAACACCCAAATGGCATGAGGTTTATTGCTTTCAATGAACATGGCGATCCTTTAATTACTAGTGAATTCTTTTCAATAGGCGGTGGCTTTGTGGTTGAAGAAAAAACCATCCAACAACATGGTGACAATCTTTATTATAAAGCTTATGATAAATTATCTGTTGACTTGCAACGTATAAGACAAGATGAGGCTGTTGTTGCGCTACCTTTTCGGAATGCTGAAGAATTGTTAGATGTTTGTAAGCGAGAACGCATGACAATTGCACAAGTTGTTTACCGTAATGAACTACATTGGCGAACTCCTGATCAAATTAGAAATAAAATAATGGACATTTGGAACACAATGAATGAAAGCATTCGAAACGGATGTATGAGTACTGAAGAATATTTACCGGGTAATCTAAAGGTGCGAAGGAGAGCTTCAGGGTTATACCAGAAACTGATAAGTGGTCCACCACCTTCAAAGGTGGCTGATAATTCTCTAATACCAAGTACAACAGGCTACAAAAAAGTCATTCTGAGACGGCCTTGGAAACTACTCATGTTACCTGCTTTGGAATATCTCTCATTATACGCTATTGCGGTTAATGAGGAAAACGCTTCTGGTGGACGGGTGGTTACTGCTCCAACTAATGGCGCAGCCGGTGTAATTCCCGCTGTTCTAAAGTATTTTTTAGAGTTTATGTCTGAAAATAATGCACGAGATATCATGGAATTTCTATTTACTAGCGCTGCAATAGGCATGCTTTACAAACGAGGCGCAAGCATTAGTGCAGCTGAAATGGGTTGCCAAGGAGAAGTAGGTGTCGGTAAGTAATGAAAATCTATAAACCTTAACGTTAATATCAATATGTGTAATAAGTATTGTCATAGATGATACTGAAATCGGATGATACTGAATACGGTTTTTAAAATTTTTTGAGGTGCACTTTTTTATTTTAGATTTGGACTAGGATTTAGGGTTAGGGTATATAATAAAAGTGTACAAGTGGATTTTATTAAGGTTTATATTTCTAAATTAAGGCCTTCCGATTTCAGCATCATCCGCGACAAGTATTAAACTATTAATTATTCACATAATGTGGTTTTATCTCGGATTGTATACAGCATGCAGCATGAGCGCAGCTGGATTCGCCGCAGTAATGGTTAGTAAAAAAAACGCACATTTTTTACGTACATACACAACATTCATTTAATAATATTAATTTTAATTAAAGGGTGCAACACCGGAACAAGTAGAGAACGCAGCAGAAATAGGAATGGAACATAACCTAGGCTTAACGTGTGATCCGATAGATGGTCTTGTGCAAATTCCCTGTATAGAGCGTAATGCTCTTGGTGCTGTCAAAGCCATAACTGCTGCTCAATTAGCATTGAATGGTGATGGATATCATAGAGTTACTTTAGATCAAGTAATTGAGACTATGCGACAGACTGGATTGGATATGCAAAGCAAATATAAGGAAACTAGTCAAGGAGGGTTAGCTGTTAATGTTCCTCTATGTTAACGGATGCTACGTAATATTTATTTTAAAAAAAAATAATAATATAGATAAAATAAATTTTAAATGGAAAAATGTAGAATTTCAGGGTTGTATGTTACGCCTAAAGTTAGTGTAACGTTATCCCTTTTGTGTGCATAAAATTTAAGTATAAAAAAAAAACTATTTAATCAATAAAACAGATCCTGAGTTATTCTCTATGTCATCGATAGTAAAACCATCAATTCTTTCCCTTTCTCCGAAGGGGTAATTAAAGTTTTGATTTTTTTTTTGATTATAAATTATAAAATGACTAAATCTTTTTAATTGATTCTTAACGTTAAGATTTGCTTCACTTCTTCGCTCGCATGGAATTGGTGCTTTTCATGCTATATTTGATCCAAAAATTGGTAAAGTAGTTACCTCCCATCCTATTCTACAACCTATCGGAGAGTATGCATTTCCTTTGACCTCTTTTTTCTTTTCTTTTTTTCATTGCTATATTTCATAATTTGAAAAATAAAATGTTAATCTTTTCGATTCGGATATTGCAGTTATTTTGAAGAAGAGAAGACCGACTTCGATGGGCATGAAGGGATTTTTGGCCAGGTAAATGAAATTCATTATTTATGACATTTAAAGTTTTTTTACGGATTAGAAACACTATGATTATAAAAAATTGTCATTTTTGAATGCAATGCCATCTTTTGTTATACATCTCGAATATCAACTATGCAAAAAAATGTAATTTATGATTTGAGTGAATAAATTCATGTGAATTCTTTAAAATTTGTAGATTGGACCAGTTTCTGGAGTTTTACAGGTAATTCAAAAGCAGCACACATAATGTATATTTTATCAACACTAATTAACTAAAATTAAAAATGATCTCTATTTAATACATAGGGTGCCTTTATACACAGAACTTGTCGAGGTCAAGGAGCAGGCGGCGTAAGGAATTGGGGTTATAATACTATCGAAGATTGGTTTCGTGATGGAATTAGATTGTCTAAAGGCATGACTCATAAAAATGCCCTTGCTGAATTATGGTATGTATAGTTAAAAGTTACTAAAACAACCCCTTTTTTTTCCATGGTGTTAAATATTTTATATGAAATTTAATCCAGGTGGGGAGGAGGGAAAGGTGTTATTGACAGGAATACCGGAATTGGTTTGTAAGTATATATTCTATTTAGACCTGTGGGGTTTGTAAAATATCTAATTTTACTCTTGTGCAGAAATCTTGGATCTACCCCACTGCAACGTCGTGTAGTGTTTGAGGAATATGGATCTTTTATAAGGTAATCAAATACATGTCTATTTTATTGCTTCTACAGTAGTTTCTGCTCATTATTAAAGAATACTTTTAATAGTTCCCTAAAAGGTTGTTACGTAACGGCTGAAGATGTAGGCGTAAAAGGTAATTGATTTTTAATTTTATCTCATAAATTTTACTGTTTAAGTTTATTAACTTATATTATTATTTGACGTAGATGATGATATGGCTGCGATATTTTTAAGAACACGATTCACGACGTGTATTCCACCTCAATATGGTGGTAGTGGTAATCCCAGTTCTCCAACGGTATTCATGTTATGATGTAGGTTTCTGGTTAATTTCGTGGTACATCGTCAATATAATTAATAATCGTATTGATGGTTTTGTATAAAGGCCAGTGGAGTAGTTCGCGCTCTTGAAGCTGCTTTTTCACATACTGGAAAACATTCGTTGCAAGGTGTTACGGTGGCTGTTCAAGTAGCGTTTAAAATTATAATTTCTTAATGCCATATTTCTTTTCATTTTAATGTATGTCGTTCGTTTTTGACGTGACTTTCTTTGGCATACAGGGTGTCGGACATGTGGCTACTGCTTTTATAAAATATTTGCTTGAAAGAAAAGTTGAGCATATAATTGCTTGTGATGTAGATTCTCAAAAGATTAAAGCAGCGGAAAAAACGTTTTCTAAGGAAATAAAGGATGGCACCGTCAAGTTTCGATTAGCTAAGGGTAGTGATCATTCAATTTTATATGAGGGTAATATATCTCTTCCCAATTTGTGGTAAATAAATTTATATTTGATATGAGTATCACGTTAATTATTGTCATGTTGTTGTAGACGTTGATGCGGTTTCTCCTTGTGGCATTGGTGGGATTCTTAACGATGAAACTATACCTAAAATCAAGGCCAAGATTGTATGTGGTGCTGCAAATAATCAATTGCAAGGTATCTGTCCAACAATATATAGTTATTGGATGCGAAGCAGCCAATAACGAGAATTATTGTCGCTATACACCTAGTTACTGTATTATCCATCCTAATGACTATGCAATATTGAGTACTATTGTAGCCATTATTTGTTTTATTAACCCTTTATTATGTATCAGATTTATCCAAAGATGGTAAATCGCTTGCTGAAAGAGGAATAATTTATGTTCCTGGTGAGTTTTTTTTTTATTGGTATAATTCTTTTGATTTTGAATATGACTCTTACGATCTTTCTTAATTGTGATAGATTTTTTGGCAAATCGTATGGGTATGATTTTGAAAAATTTATACAGTTTAAATATAATAATGAGGTAAATAATTAACTTTGTAATTACCAAAATAATATTGCTTTCTCATATAGGCATTGTTAATTGTGCTGATGAAGCCTCTGGATATGTAGAAAATGATCCAATATTTGAAAAACATCTTGGTGACACTTGGGAGGTTAGTTTAAAATGTTCTATTTCTTTCATTTTATAGTTATTTTAGAAAATACTATTAATGCTAATTCATATAAACATCTATATCAATTTTAGAATTCTATATACAATCTTACAAAATCCGTTCTTTCAACTGCTGCTGCAAGTTCGCGTACACCTCAGGAAGTGGCAATAGATTTAGCAGAAAAAAGATCATTTGTCAAAAACCCAATTTTTGGACATCGTGGAATACAAATTATTAATAGTATAGTCAATAGCAAAGAGTGGAAGATGAAAATTAATGCATGTTAGCTGTCATAAAGTGATTGCATAATAAACAGAAAATCTTGATGATTTAAACTTATAGGAGAACAATTGATACGATAATTACATTAATAAAAATATATTTTTATATTTTTATTTTTTTAAATAATTTTATCAGTTTTCAAGCGAAAGCTTAGTTAAAATATTACAAAATTAATTTTTGTCATTTAATTTATCATTTGATTAATTATTACACAATCTATATTATCAGATTGAGTGTTTAAGTATTCACAAGATTTCAATATAGATTATTTGCAGCACCAGGTAATTCGGTCATTTTTATTATACAGTCAGACCCCCTAAATGCTACCCCCCTAAATGCAACACCTCTCTAAATGCACGCCTTCTTTCGGGTCCAACTAATATTACATCTATAGATTTTTACCTCCCTAAATGCAATACCTCTCTAAATGCACGTGCTAGAGCTGGTCCAGACGACGTGCATTTAGAGAGGTCTGACTGTACCTAATGTTGGTTTAACGGATCGAATCATTAATTATACCACACTTTTGGATTTTCCTCTTCTCATTTTTAATTTCAATCTTTCAATTCGAATCCTTCACTTTTCATTAATTTAAAAGTTTCAAGATAATCTTGATATAATTGCTCATACCTTGACTAAATAATTTTTGTTTATTACATATTCTATGCTATTAAATGTGGCAGCATGTGCTGATACTGGTAATATCTACTAAATTCACATATACTCTTTATTAACAGTACTATGATAGCTCTGAATTTTAGCCTAGCCCTAAAGTAAAGGCTAATAAAAAAATTTTATAAGTTTCATCGTTAAGCCAGTTCTAGCATATTTTTACCAACGAGAGATTTCGAGAAAAGAATTATTTATAATAAAATAAGTACAATTGAAAATGTCAAAATTTAGCATATCTTCAATGAGTTATCTTTTTTTGTGTAATATTATATAGAAATGACTGAGCCCTTAGATTGCTTTCAAAGTTCAAATGATTTATTTTTATTTTTTTGAATTCTTAAATCAGTCTTTAGGAATCAATATCGATTGAATGATGTTTTTGAATAACGTGTAGGATTTTCCGAATTTTATATAACTAATCTTAGCCATGTTGTTACTCGGACAAAATTCAGACAAAATACCAGGAACGAAGTAATGAAATCACGAAGTGTATGAATAAATAAATGAAAGTTCAAGTTTTCACGGTGTCGGAATTTACCCGCGAAAGCTTTGACATACATAATTCAATCATAATTCAGAAACACAATATTAGTGTAATTATACATACCATATTTTCGCGTAATAACGCTCATGAACCTCCTAAAAATAAAATAACGCTCATGCACATCCCAAAATAACGTGCACCCCAAAGTAAGGATTTAAAAATATTTCGGAACTGGATTTAATACTAAGTAAATCTTCGAACTTCAATAAAGGTTGATTTTCAGAACAGTTTTTGTTAAAGCTCGAAGGAAGGTTTACTTAGTACTAAATCTAATATTTTGTTTGCTTATTTTTTATACAAGAATTACTTAAAATTTTCAATTGGAACTGGTTTTATTAATTCGGGTTTATCATGTGAATTTTGTGATATTTTAGAAATTTATCCAATTAAATTTTAATAAATTCTAAAATATCACAAAATTCACGTGATAAACCCGAATTATTAAAAACGGTTCCAACCAGGGACGCTGATTTTTTTTTTTAGATTATAAGTAAATTTTTTTTTGGATAACGCAAAAATTTTGGATTTAGCCGGCATTAAGAAATTAAATTTCATAATTCGGGCCACATCATGTGATTAACGTGACTTTGAATTATTGCCCAAAATTTCGCCATCTCGAAATTTTGAATTTTATAAACACAACCAATCAGATTAATAGAAATTAATAGACAACGTGATCTGTAACCAATCAAAGCGCTAAAATCATGCATAAAATTTTCTAAAATTTTGGTTTTTTATGGATATTCCTCAAAATTATGAATTTTCCTAGTGTTCGAAAAAGTCAGCACGGATCAGATTCGGATTTGTGCGGATCCAAACCGTCGGATTAGTTTTGGACCCTGAATCGTGGATTGGGCCCAGATTGAGCGGGATTTGGGCCTAATTTTAGGGCGTCTTTATATAATCATCGCATGTGATAAATTCGAATTTGTCATGTGCCAAATTCGAACGTGCCACAGTTTATCACAATTTATGTGATAAATTCGAACATGTCGTGTGACATGTTCGAATTTATCATATAAATTGTGATACAAACTGTGACAAACCGCGGATCAACCGTTGGATTCAATCCGAATTACGGATTCAGATCAGATTTGGATCAATCCCAGATCAACCGGGATTTTTAATCCGATTTCGAACACTAGATTTTCCCCAAAAATTATAGAAATTTATAGATCCATAATTTTCAGCATCCCTGGTTCTAACCTCTATCTACTCGAAAAACACACATGTACTCAAAATAACGCGAAAATACGGCACACCTAATATTGTAAAATCTTTTCTTATAATACCATCCTTATGATTTAGATTAAAAAATGGACATAATGATTTAGACGTTTTGCAATAGTATACATCATCAGAACCAATGCTACAACTCAAAGATATACCAGGGTTTTGTTTCAATACCTTGCTAAAAAAGTCTTTTCATTTTTTTCTTTTCACAGTTAAAATGAAAAGTTTCACAAATCATAGACTTTTTTGTAGTAATGTTATTTTGTCTTTATATCTATATGTATGTATATATACTGATTTGTATTTATCCAGCAAGATGAACCCTTATTTAAAGAATATAATCGACTTAACGCTATTGAAAAACCAATGTGTTGTATTTTCTTTTATCCTCTTATATCTATACTCGTTGTTTTGCTTTTCATAATTAGTATAATTGGTGCAACTTCTATTGGGAATCTACTTGCAGGGTATATTTATATTCTTTATTAATAAATGGAATGAATATGTATTTATGAAAACCATATATAAATATTAATAATATTAATATTGTCATTAAAAATTTCGTTTTATATAAAATAATAATAAAAAATCCACCAGAAACACTTCAAAGTCTCCTCAAATATGAATACGAACCTGGTCAGGTATAAAAGTTTCTTGGTACAGTATACAATTTTCCCTTATATGCATAAATAATGTAGTGATAGTATTTTTATTTGTAGCTCATGTGGGAAAGAATTTCACATGGCTCTCCTCCATGCCAGAATACAGTATCTTAGAAGGCATGCTTTCATAAAAATTGCTGACATTGATCTCGAATTTGAAGATGAATTCGGGTTTAATATCACATTTTTCTAAACTGTACTCGACAGAGGTGAGTTTGCAGAACATGAAAACAAGTGGGTGACGGTATACAGCCAGAGAGTAACAGAATATGGAAGAAGTATAGCAATGATCAGTTGAACAACATTCTCGAAACTATTCCTAATGCTATCCAACTTATAGTTGTTAGACGAAACCTTGAGGTTTCGCGCTGACGAAATGCGAAACCTAGTTTCGTCTTTCATCAAATGACAAAATGACAAAAGGTGATGAAACTGGCGAAAGGTGACGAAACTGACGAAAGGTGATGAAACTGACGAAAGGTGACGAAACTGATGAACCTGAAACTAATAAAAGATGAGAAACAGAAGCAAGTGTAAATAAGTGTGCCACTGGCTTCTATATTTATATCTATATAAAACTAAAATTTAAAACATACAATTATATCAATTTTAATAAGTAACTTAAGAAGTAATTTATCAATTAAGTAAATTAGC